ATTTAGCTTCTCCCAGTAAGACTGACTGACATACAACTACTATAAATTGGTCTCAACTCGAACATTGTTCATTCTGACAGCAAAAAATATGACTTAAGTTTCAAAATGTGTTATTTTTCCCTTGTTTGTGTGTTACAGTGAACTGTCCATTACCAGATGCCTTCATGGAGCCCATCGTGGCTCTACTTTTATCATCTGATCTCGATGTTCAAAAGACTGTCTCTCTCGCCCTTGTAAATCTGTTAATAAAGAATAATGGTAAGAGATAATAATAGTAAGATATTTACATTATTATAATTTTTTTTAATTAATCCAGAATTTTAATGATTTTGATAGTATGATTCTAAAAACTCGTGTTCTTTTGGATCAAATGGCTTATTTATCATTTGCCATTCATAAAATTTGATTTCAGTGTGTAAAGAATTGGTGATAGAAATGGGGATGCTGGTGCCCATAATTGAGTTGTTCCGGTCAGGTGATCCCACTGCTCAGTGTCACTCCTGTGCCTGTGTTGCCATGTTGGCCTCCTCAGGTTTGTACAGACCAGAAGTATTTTTCGACACAGTTTAGAAAGTACAAACGCTTAATTTTAAAAAGTTATTATGTATTGCAAACTAAATGGCAGGACTTTGAGGATGGCAAGAGAACTGATGCCTTATGAGAAAAGTAGTTATTTTGTTCCATATGCTTCTTGAAATGACCTCTCCTCTGTCTTGCTGAAATTCTGCTAATTTGTTTTGGGCCACTAGCACTCCAAAATTGTCCCTGCATGCATGGTTGCTATTTCATCTTTCTTTCCAGAGTCAAATCGAGATTCTTTGATGGTTGATGGAATCATACCACTCTTGGCTTTAGCAAAATCTTTTGATCCAAAGGTCCAACGGAATGCAACTTGGGCTCTATTACACCTCACGCAGTCAGGTGGGACCATTTCATTTGAATGTCACTGTGCACTTACAATTGTGTTTAGAAGTTTAGATACACTCATCATTGGCATCAATGCCATTATAATTTAGGGATTACTTTGAACTGTTCTTTTTCTAGGGTGGAATGATTGTGCAGTATACATGTTTATTGAGTTAAAAAAAAAAACAAGAAGTCTGTGCACAGTTTTGAATTTATTTATTTGGGATTTTGTCTAATTGACCCAGGGTCAAAAGTATAGATGCAGGCTCAGATATACACACATCCTTACCTTAGATGAGGTACTAATGTTTTGTTAGATGCCCTTTAGTAAGTTGCACCTCAACCAGATGTTTTTAGTAACCATCAACAAGCTTCTGCAATAATTCTGGATGGATATTTTACCAATTCTGCCAAGAGAG